AAGTGACAGGTGAGGTCAGTGGGGAGGGGACACATCAACCATGACAGTTGAGCATTCTGAGACCAATTGTATTTGACTGCAGCTCCACATCACATTTACTCTTTAACATCCTCCCAACACGAGGCTACTCTTATGAATCTACTCTTATGAATGTGCCCACTCCAGTAGCCATGTCAGCATTGGAATGCCTTCACATGCATGTTGTATAATAAACACACACACACACACACACACACACACACACACTGCCTCTAGTGCTATTGCTTCTATTAAAGTTGTCCTTTAAAATCAGCGAGACGCTGGGCACTGACAGCACTTTTGAGGTAGAAGGAGGAGGACCATAAGTTCAAAGATAAGCTCAGCTACAAAGGAAATTTGAGGCCACCTTTAATTATATGAGACCCTGCCTCAAGAGAGTTGGAGAGATAGCCCAGTGGGTAAGAGCCCTTGCTCTGCAGACAGCTGAAGTCAGATTCCAGCACTCACATACAAGGCCGCACAGATGTGCTATTAGAGTTATAAGGGGAGGAGACAGGCAGCCCACAGCAAGGTTTCAGGCTCCAAAGTGGAGAGTCAGACAGAGAAAGACACCTGACATCCTCCTTTGATCTCTGCACATGGGTACCTGATGCATGCAGCATCCATAGAAACATATAGCTCTCTCTCTCACACACACATGCACACAAAGAAAGCAGGATAAAGATCTTCCATGATCTTATCTCCCCTCCCCCCAGTCATCATGGGTATCGTAAAAAATAATCAAATTATGGATAGAAATTTGTCCATCTTCTGTGGAAATAAGGATGGAAGCTCCTCAAAAATCTTAACATGGACCAGTCATACAATCCAGTTACATCACTCCTGAAACTATACCCGAAGGAGTCAAAGTTGAACTCCAGTAGTGATCCCTGTGCATCCCGGTGTTCACTGCTGCACTGTTCATGAAAGCCCATCAGGGGATCAGCCTCGGTGCACATCAGCGGATGGAGGAAGAGCAGGTGTTACATGGACACAGTGGACTGTTACACATGGAGAACACACCTCTGTCATTTGCAGGGAAATGGGTGGATCTGGAGACTCTGTGTCAAGCAAAAATAAAACAAACTCAGAAAACCTACAGGTTTTTCTCCCATGTGTGGAAGCTAGGTTGATAGAGCGAGAAGGAGAAGGTGACAGACAGACAGACAAAGGGCTGAGAAAAAAGAAGGGAAAGCATTTGGGAAGAAGAAGGATTCAACAGGAAGAGGAGAACAATCCAGAGAGTAATGAGGAGTCAATATGATCAAATATATCTTGTACATGTGCTAAAAATGTCATAACGAAAGTAGAAGCGTGGAGCTGAGAGGTTCTCAGGTGTGCCGAGCGCAGAGAGAGGTTGAGAGTGGAGATGAGCAAGCCAGACTCCATCTGGGAGCTGAGAGGATGTAGCCAAACCAAGATGGGAGACCTCAGTCCAGGACGAACTGAAAGCCCCCCCGGAACACTCCTGCTGGCTGGATCTCTGCCTCTTCATTCTTTTCCACTTGTTTTGGTTTTCTTCGCTTTCCTCTAGCCCTGACTGCTTTCTTGCGTTGTCAATAATGTGGTTGCTGGTGGTTGCATGGCTATGGTTTGTGCCACCTCTTGAGGCCAGGTGGATGTAAGTGATCTGTGCTACGTACATGGGGGCCATGTTGTTATCTGAGATCTGTTCTGCTGCCTTGGGCCGTATTAATGTCTAGGGTCCATGTTGCCAACAGAGGCCATGGTGGATGTTTGTGGTCTGTGCTGCTGCTTGAAGCCATGTTGATGTTTGTGGCTTGTGTCTCCATCAACAGCCATGATATTGTCTGTGGTCCTGCTGTTGCCGAGGCCAGTGTTGATGTCCACGGTCCATGCTGCCGCCAGAGACTATGTGGATGTCTGTGATCTGTGCTGCTGCTAGAGGCCATGTAGATGTTTGTGGTGCTTGCTGTCATCTGTGCTGCTGCTGACTATAAAGGGCAAGGAAATGTCTTTTGCAGTATTGATGGCTGCAGACTCATGGATGAGAGAGACGTAGAAAGCTTCTGTGACAGCTTCTGCCCCTAACCCCCACATCCCGCAAAGAGAAACAGTCTAGACAGGAAGCTATTGAAGATAATAGGGATGCTGAAGTGTACCTCTCCACAGATGATGGTTTTGGTGGGGGTGGGGCTGGGCCAGGACTCAGTTTTCTTTAAGGAGCTGGCCAATGGGAGCTTGATATGCTCCAGCATGTATATGGGTGACACAAACTGGATTGGGTATTTTTCCCTTCTTTTTTTTTTTTTTTTTCTTTTTTTGAGATGGGGAGGTCACAAGGGTGGGGAAATGGACCTGGGAGGACCGGAAAGTCAGCGTTGTGGGGTGCATTATGTGAAATTCTCAAATAATCAATAAAAACATTATGTTTGGGGGAGGGGAGGAATGTGGTTTCTGGAGTGAATCCTAAAGGCTACTACAGACTTCTTAAGTAAAATAGAGTTGCCAGCGGCAGAGTTCTAAACCACCAACTTTCCCTCTTAAGACCTTGACCTCCCTAAAATAGTGTGTTTCAAACCTGTTTGAAATTTTTTAATTAATATGATTGCAGCCAGATTATATTATATATTATGTATATACATATATGCATATGTGTATGTATTTTTTAAATAATGTCTGTAATTCAGTGGAATTCTATGTGGAAGGTACTCATCTGACAGCCTCACTAATAGCCAGGCATCATTTTGGATACAGCAGTAAATAACAGAAAACAAAGAAATAAACAAACTCCAAACTTATCTTTATAAAGCTTACTTTCTTGAATATTGTTGTTTAAAAATACACTATTTTAAAAGAAGTTATCTTCTAGGGTTAGGCAGCTAGCATTTCCTCAGATAGGTCACAGTACCAAAGCAGCTATTGTAAGTACTTTAGGAAGGGGTTCTCCTTCATCCTAAGACTTTGATAATTAGAAATTGGTTCCTGTTGGTTTTAGTGCTATTCAGTGTATGAGAACTGGCTTAACCATTCGAGGGTGTTTCCTTTTCTCTTATAATTAAGTCATAAAATTTGGCAAACTGTTATCAGTTATGTCTTTGGGATATTGTTGCATTTTCTTGGGCAGTTTTTGTGGACAGTAAAGCTGAAGCATTTATATTGGGAACAGGACCAGGGCAGCACTGATTTTACCAGACTATCACAGGATTCGTGCTGCTTACTAATCTTCTCTAATAAACAGTAAATGATATCACTGAAAAGAAATGTCATAACAAAAATCATTACTCTATACAATTAATATACGCTAATAAAAGACAGGAAAGTGGGAGGAAAACTGTGTGCAGGGTCTGTTGTCAAAAGAGAGAGTGTTAAAATGAAACACATTATTTTATATACACGCTAATAAAATGAAGGAAAAGGAGAACATCTTTGCACCGTTTATAGACCTCTGGGACCTGGGGGAATAGAGCAGCAGAAGGCAGGACGCACACTTAAGTCCTTTCCCCACTTCTCCGGCAGATCTGCTCAGCAGCGACTCTCTAGCTATTTAGCCATCTGTCCATCTTCCCCCACTCTCCATTCAGCTACTCCTCTCCTCCCACATCCATTCTATCAAGTTTCTTGGAAGCTCAGGAGACCTTTGCACTAAGAAGAAAAACTTGGCTTTTCAAAATAACAGGAACAACATTGTAACTAATACCAGATAAACAGATTATCATTCATTGGCCCTCTATGAAATCTGACTTCCTACTTTTTTGCTTCCTGAGCTCACCACAGGATGGACCACTGCGTTCAACCTGGTAACTTGGTTAGCAGCTCCAGCTTTTCTCCCTGTACCCAACAAACCAGACCTTGACATAAGTCGGCCTGAAGCACGACACATTTCTTCACACCTTCCAGTAGTGCATCTTGTAAAGGCAACCTAAGTCTTGTGTTCTTTGTTTCCTTTCAAGTCAGACCTGTGCTTCTCCAGGTCTGTCTTCTGCCCTGGGCCTTGGCTTTAGCTGTCCGGAAACATCTCTCTTCTATCACCACAGACCCCAGGCCTGACCATCTTTACCCTTTATCTGCACAACTCCATTTCTTGATTATTGGTGATCTTTCTTCTTGTCCCTAAATGGGTGCTTGGATAGACGAGGGTGGTACCCTGGCTTACAGGAATAACTGACTGGATGTCTAAATGTCAACTCCTTAGCAAACCCTGCCCTGACCTCCGCTCTCCAATAAACAGGACTCCGTTCCTCCTCTGCTTGTGTGTTACCCCTTACCGCTACGTCTCATAAATAAGTATTTCATTTTCCAATTGGTGTCTCAAAAATATAGTAAGTTCCTTAAGGACTCAGTGGAATCAATGGTTCATCTATATAGCTCTGTATAGTGTGGTATGATTTCTTGTCCTTGCCAATATTTGTTTGTTCATGGAACATAATTTATCTTAAGCAAGTATAAGCAGAAATGGGGATTTGAAGCTAATTTTTTACGAGACATTATTGCATAGGACTTATTTTGTGCGTGTGGGCCTGTTTGCATGCTTTGGTTGGGCAGAAGAGTTTGCCACGTGCCTTCCTCTAAGTGTCTGCCTATTCCCTTAGCGGCTAGGCTGCCAGCCAGCCAGCCCCAGCTCTCCTCTTGTCTCCATTTATTACCCCCATCCCCCGCCCTCTGCTCTCTCCTGGGGACACAGCAGGTGCTGGTAGTGCCTGGGTTTTTAGGTGGGCCCTGAGGACCCAAACTCAGATCCTCATGTTTGCCCCGGAACTGGACTTAGAGACAATTGTGAGTTGACGTGTAGGTGGGCTCAAACCGAGGTCTCCTGCGATAGCCGCCAGCATTCTTAACCCCTGAGCCACCTCTGAGCCACCTCTCCAGCCCCACTATATGGGCTGTTTCATGCAACACAGGATCAGGTTGGGAAGGTCCTATGCTCAGGACACCTGGTCGGACACAACTGTGTGAGCAGGGCAGTGTATTTGAGAGGTATTTTGACAAGTGCTGATGTTTCTCTGTCATGTGTCTTTCAGAAAAGCAGCTAAGTATTCCTCCCGCGCCCAGAGGTGGAAGGCCTCAGAGAGTGGCAGCTCACATCACTGGGATCAATCGGAGAAGCAACTCAGCCATAATTCCACGTAGGATCACGAGGGCTGGGGCGGGGGCTGGCAGCAGGTTCGGGTGGGGTTGACGCCTACCATTTGTGAGGCTCTGGAATTATTCCAAGTAGTTTCTTTTTAACTTTCATCTGAAATAGTTTTATGACTATAAGTGCTCAATAATGATCAAGTGTCAGACGACTGTTTTGAGAAGGAAAATGACACACAAGGGGCTTGCTAACTCTGCTATCGAAGGCCTTAGGAAAAGTGTACATGAGAGATCATTGCTCCCAGATTCCCATTGGCAACCTTTTTAGCTGCTGTTGCTGTTTCTTGCACCTTCTCTACTCTTTTTCTTCTCCTTTTTCATTGAAACAGTGGCTCATGGAGTCCTGGCTGGATTTGAACTCCAGATCCTTCTGTCTCAGGCTCTCAAGGGCAGGGATGGTAGCACCACTACACTCAGCCTTTTTTTCTTCACCTGTAAAGTAATTCTCTCTCTATCTCTCTCCTCTCTCTATCTGTACTCTCCCTCTCTCTCTTCTTCCCCCCTCCTTCTCCCTTTTCCTTCTCTCTTCCCTTTCCATTTGTATCAACTCTTCCTTCTCAAAGTTTCAAATCCGCAGCCCTTGTCCCCACCATAATTAAATCCACAGCATTTATTTTCACCACAAGGCACTAGAGCTCCCACCACAGGGACACTTTTGACACAGGGAACTGCCAACCCTTGCTATGTATACGTGTGGCATAGCTGGCAAATGAGGTACTGAAAGTGGAGGGATTGACAAAAGCTCAAAATGACACAGGAGCCTCCCAATCTTGATGCAACCAGCCTTTGTAATCCATGTCAGATTAAATGGGTAAGAAATGGGATATCGGATCCACATGGTGTACAATCATGATAACAATGCTGACTGTGCTGAGGGGCTGAGGATCTGCTTACTTCTATGCAAACTTCCTCCTCCTGTTAACGGTTTCTCTCATCCTCATGTAGTTTCCAAGGACGGAAAGACCTTGGGCCAGAAGATAGGGTCCTGGGAGTCATCGAGGAAAGGGCATTCATTCCTCAACCACGTGCACTTGAGAAACGGAGAGCTGGTCATCCAGGAGCAAGGCCTTTACTATATCTATTCCCAAACATACTTCCGATTTCAGGAGGCTGAGGCAGTGTCCGAGACAGTCCCAAAGGACGGAGTGAGGAACAAGCAGATGGTGCAGTACATCTACAAATATACCAGCTACCCAGACCCCATAATACTGATGAAGAGCGCCAGGAACAGCTGCTGGTCCAGAGACGCAGAGTACGGACTCTACTCCATCTATCAGGGGGGGCTGTTCGAGCTTAAGGAAAACGACAGGATTTTTGTTTCTGTGACGAATGAGCATTTGATGGACCTGGACCAAGAAGCTAGTTTTTTTGGAGCCTTTCTAATTAACTAAATGACCTGCAAAGATCAAACACAGCTCTCAAATGCCCAGCAATATCTTAAGTTGAATACATGCCCAGAAGTGACTGAACTGGTGGGGGTATGGCTTGGCTGCAGAACCCTTGGGACAGATGTGACAAAAAAAGTCGGCTGGAATCAAGCAGCCCAAACGCCCAGCCATAGACACTTTCAGTGTTTATGAAAAGAACCTGCTTATGACATCACTACACATGTTCGTTGCTCTACCTGGTGCCATGTTGCAGAGATCTAGAAGGTTTTTGATATCTAAGTATTTATGCAACAATTGACAAATTTTGCCTTTGTTATCTGGGTCATGGGTGTTCAATGGGCTGTGTGAAAACAAGGACAGCTATAAATGCAGGCCAGCATAAAAATCACAGACTCTGTCACCTAAAACATTACAGAGAGAGAGCCAGAGAGCGACTGAGCAAGCGAGAGAGAGAGCGAGACAGAGAGTGGGTGAAAGTGTGTGTGTGTATTTGTGTGAGTGTGTTTTTTTTTTTTAAATCGTATCTGATTATGTGTTTCTCAAGTGTGAATTCTTAAATGACAACATTATGTCCCATCATCAATGAGTATCTGGCCCAAAGAATGAATGAAAACTCCAGGCGATGAATGAAGCAGCCAAGAAAGGTGCCTGCAAAGCCATTGAAGCCTGGCTGCCCCAGCCTGCTGGGGCTCAGATTTTCCTGCCACATGTAGAGTTGGAGGGGACCTTGCGTGGCTCTCAGTCTTTGGTACCTCCTTCTTGACATGCTCCCAGACCTCGTTTGCTTGTCATTTGTTTTGAGGCCGGTATCCCAGGCTGGCCTATGGTGATCTGTAACCGGGCAGCCTCCTGCCTCCAGGATATGCTGAGATGATGGTTTATGCCACCCTGCCTGGCTCATGCAGAGCTAGGCTTCTTGAATGCCTGGTAACGTCTCTACCACTGAGCCACTTTCCAGCCCTGTTCCTGTCTTTTCTGAATGAAGTGTTTTCCTGTGTTTTGGAAGTGCACAATATTCAGCCAAGAGTTTGCCTTGAGCTTTAGGATCAAGTTTGAGCTAGCCTGAATGTGCTTGTCCTGCCCAGAAGGTAGCTGTTATCCCAGTCTTCTGGCTCTTACATCTGTCTGTTCCTTCTGCCAAGATGTTTTGTAGACCTTAGCTAAAGGGATGTGATACAGTTTTGTTCATTTTTTTGTTTTGTTTTGTTTTGGTTTTGGTTTTTTGGATGTCTATGCCTGGAGTTTCATTGTAGTAACACAAGATTGACTAAAACCAAAGGGCAGCAAACCCCCAAAAGGACCCATATGATGTATTTTATTGAACCAGTTTTTTTTTTGTTGTTGTTGTTTTGTTTGTTTGTTTGTTTTGGTTGGTTGGTTTTTAGGCTTTTTTGGTTGCTGGAGAGATAGCTTAGATGTAAACAGCACTGGTTGCTCTTCCAGAGAATCTAGGTTCAATTCTCAGCCCTCACATAATGATTAAGAATGGTAACTCTAGTTGTAGGGGATCTGACTCCTTCTTCTGGCCTCTGCAGGCAATGCATGTACACGGTGCACAGACACACAATCAGACAAAATATTCATACACATACAAATATGTCTTTCAAAAAAACTTATTTGAATTTAAGGTTATGGATAGCTGTTACTTTCGATACTCCTTATGTTTTTTTTTTTTTCATGACTCCATCAAGGTCTTATAAAATAGCACATAGACTCCACAGCTACCATTTTAAAGTTTTCCTTCTCTGACTAGAATATAGGCATTGTAATAGTGAAACACATTTAGCCTTGCCTGCAACCATATTCCTAATATTTAGTAAGGAACTTACATGTAATTTCTATATAAAATACATCTATGTATTCGTAAGTAATAATAATAACCATATGGGAAAATGTTGATGTCAAATAATGAAGGAGAAAACTTGAAAGTTCAAGAAAAGGCATTTGCCAAAAATCCTGAAAACCTGAGTTTGATCCTTGGGATTACATAGTGGTAGGAGAGACCCCATTCCTACAAGCTGTCCTCTGACCTCCACACACGTGTTTTGGGACACACACACACTCCAGATGTGAGGGTAGAAGGAAGACAATAAAGGAAGAGGAAAGACGAAGGGAAGAAAGGAGAAGAAAGAAGGAAATGATAAAGTACATTTTCACTAAATGCCAAGTCAGATTTAACAATGTGCGCAAACACACAAGAATGGTATAAAAACAGGAAAAGGTAGGAAGGGCCGGGTGGGAGGAGGGTAGAGAGACAGAGGAGTGGAGGGCACTGAACCATGATATGTGTGAAGGTTTCATAAGAAATCCGTTATTTTGCATACTAACCAGAAACATTAATTAACAACAAAATTAACATAAAATAGTTTAAAACAGTAAAAACATTCGTTGCACACTGCACATTGAGTGACTAGATCACAGCAATTGTACCACCAGGTTGTTCTCTGTCACCTGTCACAACATCTTAATGACAACGGTCTTCTCTGCCACTCACTGGTCTTTCTGTTTTGACTCCTAAAGTGGGATTGTGGAGTCAATTTAACTTTGGGAGGAGGCAGGGATGAGAACCAAGCCCAGGGTCTTGCTCCCAATAGGCATGTACCCCACACTGAGTGACACCTCAGCCTAAACGAAACAACTAAGTGCTGTTTTTAATTCCTGGTCTCTTAAGTCATCACCGAAGAGAAAATTCATAGTATTTTTTTCTGTTTGGTAGGCAGGCAAGTGAAATGGTATCAGATTTCTAATTTTTGTGTTGAACACAGACATTCTTTGTTTGCTGTTTCCATATGGTCCACAAGCCATGGTCCCTGGGGTGACGCTACTTCATAATCTCCCACAGAGCATTTTGTAATGCCCATGCCTAGATTCAACCACAAACCAACAGGATCAGAATCTTGGAGTGGAGCCCAGGGATCTTTTTTGTGTGTGTGCATTTTAATTTCCTCAAGTAATTAGCAGGCCGCCTGCAGGACACAATTTACCAAAGTGTCAAATGCTGTGATTTAGAAATTAAATATTTAAGAATGCAACATACCCAGACAACCATGATTAGATGTTCAAAGATTTAATTCATGGGCAATATTAAACTCCATGACTTGTTTAAACAAGCATGCCTGCATATTTTTTCCTTCTGCCAAAATATAAAGCCTCTGACTGCAGGAAGCAACCGTGGAGAGAATATTTTAGAATGATAACTTCCTGGACAATTGTGAGGAGCCATTTTTTTTAAAGACATGAATTCTTATCTGTTTGAAAAGGAATAATTACTACTGGTGGGGGGCGGGGGAAAGGACCAGGCCCTGTTTTTGTCTTATTGAGTTCCAGCCCAACAAACCATCTGACCTGAAGAATAAAATTAAAGTGCCACTCTGGCCTAATCAGCCTGGGGAACCTGGGCATTTTAAGCAGCAATGATCCCAGAAGAGAGGTCAACTTTGCTGTTTTGGAGCAGAAGTGTCAAGGCAAAAGTTTTTTGTTATTGTTTTTCAGACCAAATGGGGCCACCTTACTGTCACACACCGTGAGTGCCACCAGGTGGCGAAGTTCCCTTAACTTCCTCAGAGTCAAGTCCTTTAAAGGTGTGTGCATAAGTCTTCAAATCCTCTGGTTTAAAAACAAGAACGAAAGCCAAGATCAATGGTTTACCTGTAGGCAACTGGAACTACAGACAAAAAATAAGCTTGCATACACGGTTGGAGCTCCAGGTTGAGGCTGGGTCTGTGAGGAGTGTTTGTTTATTTGTTTGTTTGGTGTTGTTTTCTTTTGAGACATTGTAGCTCCTGAGTGTCCTGAAACTCGCTTTGTGGACCAGGCTGTCTTAGAACTCAAAGATTTGCCTGCTTCTGCCTCCAGAGTGCTTGGACTAAAGGCGTACACCACCATGCCCTGTCCTAATTGTTTTTGTGTTGAGTTCTAGGCCATACTGGTCTTTCTTTTTAACAGCCAGCCCCTAGAAAGCCATACTGATGTCAACACTGAAAATGGCCTAGGTACGAAGGAAGACACGGGGTTCTGATTCTTCCTATTTTTGTGAAAAATGAGTGCACAGAACAGCTGAGATCACAAAATATATAACCTCTAGATTTTGCATAACCTAGTTTCAATACAGAGAGTTACAGGCTTCCTTCAAGGGTAAGTTTAGATTCTGTGTTAAGAATTTGAGGTGTGTTGTTTGCTTGCTTTTTCGTTTTTAAGTGAAACACAATTTGAGTCAACTTTTCTAAATTCTCTTTGCTTCCAAGGGCTCTGTGAAGCCAGGGGTGTTGACAACGTGGCTTTTGCCCTCTCTCCAGTTACTGTAGATTGTGGCCTTCCCCGCCCGATCACTACCTACTCTACTTCTGGGGATTTGAACCCAGCTTCTCATGCTTGTGCCAAAACTGCTCCCCCACCGAACCTTCTCCCCAGACCAATCACTATTACGTGGGTTTTTGTTTGTTTGTTTGCCTGTTTTGTTCTTTGGCAAATCAATTCAGTTCTGTAATTTCCTTCCAAGTATTATTTTAACTGTTTCCTATAATTTAGCATATAACAGTTTCATTATCAGTGTCAGAAATTTTGAATTACCACCTTTGTTCTTAAAGAATTAAATCTATATTTTCAGTTGTGAGACAAGAAAATCTTAAAGAGAATTTTTCTCTTTCTTTTTCCCTTTCTTTTTTCCTTCCTTCCTTCCTTCCTTCCTTCCTTCCTTCCTTCCTTCCTTCCTTTCTTTTTTCTTTCAAGTTGATAGCAGCAAAGCCAGAAAGTAAATTAACTATGATGATGATGATTATTATTTCAAATGTAAAAATATTGTAAATTCTGAAATACACACACACACACACACACACACACACACACACACACACACGTTCCTTTGAATTTCACCTTAATAAAAACAGAAGTCCATGCACCCACCACACTTTTTTTTCTCTTTTCTTTCAGCCCATGTAGAGCTGCCCTGTAAAGTACAATCCCCCCTTTTTTTTGTCTGATAAGACTGATGATTCCGATTTCCAGTGTTTTATATCTTTTTCTTACATCTGTTCTTTACACCTTTGGGCTCTTCTGAATTATACAGTGCTGAAACACTTTGTCATCAGTCTGAGGATCTCTGCATTTAATCAGTGAATTTAACCCATTTGCACTTATTGTAAAAACTGTAATATAGGAGCTCATTTATATATCTTTGCTTTTTATTTAGTTTTCACTGTTTACTTTTTACTCATTTTCCTATCTTCCACAGGATAATCTTAATGCACTTAATTAATTTCTTGTTGCTATAATAAAATGCCTTGACAAAAACACCTTAAGGGAGAAAGAGTTTAGTTAATAGTCTAAGGGTCTAGCCCATAATTCCGGGGAAGTCACAGAGGCAAGAGCTTTTGAGAACTGGCCACATTACATCCACAGTTAAGAACAGAAAACAGTGAATTAAGGCATATTTGATAGTTTTCATTCACTTTCTTTTTTTTTATTTTTATTTTTATTTTTATATAGTCCAGGATCCTAGCACAGGGAATGGTGCAGCTGATATGGACGGGTCGCACATTAATTAACATAATTAAGATAATTCCTCCCGGACATTCTTAGAGGCCCTTCTTCCAGGTGATTCTAGATTATTTGAAGTTGACAATTAAAACTATCACATTTAACTTTACAACTCAAGGTTTAGTTTTTAAAATTTTTATTTTTTTAACTTCCTTTTGATTCTTTCTGGGTTTCATATTATGCAACACAATCCCATTCTTCTCCCCATCCCTTTGTACCTGCTGTCTGCTCTTACAACCTCTCCCCAAAAACAAAAATAAAAAAAAAAAAACAAACCAAACAAAATAAAGCATAGAAAACATTTCATCCTGGAAGCTGTAGTGTGCCACACTGTGTCCCACACGCTACCCTTTTTGTGCACACATGTTTACTTGTAAGTGTTCATTGCAATGGGTCATGGGTCTGCTTTGAGGCCTCTGGCTTCTGTTGCACTATCACGGGATCCCCACTGGGCCCCCTCTCAAGATATCCTGTTGTTTCCCTGTGTCATGGAGATTCTGCAGCTTTGAATCTACAAGACAGGCCCTTTCACATGCTCCAGCAGTTCAGGTAGATTTTGGGGTGGGCCAGCTCAAAGCTCTGGCACTAAGCCTAGTGGTAGCAGAGTTGGTCATCTCACCAGCTCCTCCCACACCTAGACCACTAGAGCAAGCTCTCCAGCACCGCCCCAGCTAGCTCACCCACTGCTGCATCCAGCAAGGGGCAGGGCCAACTCTCCCACTCTCCCACCCTTGAGGCTGGCTCACCTCCTGTGCCTTCTCCATCACTGTGTTGCCCAGATGAGGTTCAGGGTCTTCTCTCCCAAATGCTGTAGTCAGTGAGGGTCAGGCCAGCTCTCCCACCTGCCTCAGGTGATGAGAAAAAGGTAAAGCGTTGTTGTTGTTGTAATATCTGATAATTCTGTCTTACAAGACCAATAAATGGTTAAGTTCATTTCTCCATCTAAGTTTAAATGTTATTAACCTTTGAATCTCTGACTCTTATCTACCTACACCAAACAAATGAAAAACTTTTGCAAGTTTCTTGTTTTTCACTGCAGCATCTCCATATTTGTATCGAAACCATTAGGTTTTAGTGATGTTGTTATTGCTATGGAGGTATTGCTTGCTTACATTTTAACACACAAGTTATCCCTGAAAGCCAGTGCAATAGATTTCTACATGGTCTTGACCTTACACCATCATGGAATTGGCACTGCAGATTTCTTTCACTGAACTCAGAGGAAAAGAAACAACTCTGTGAGATCTTTTTCAACCCACCTCTCCTCTGTGACCCAGGTGCTCTCTTGAAACCGTTCCCTCATCCCAGACCTGAGCAAGCATTATCACAAAGAAAGCACCTCTTATACTCCTATTGGTTTCAGAATATGGTTCACATCATCAGTCTCTTTACTAACCATGAGACATGGCAGTAAGGACCAGATTAGGAGGCAGAGTCAGGGATCTGTGTTAGTTGCTATCTTGTTTGAAACTGTGAATCTCATTTATGTTCTTCACAAACTTATTAGTAGACAAGAGAGACTACATGTACAAAATGTTCTTAAAAAAACACATTACATAAATCTGTGATGCATTATAGAGAGTTATTTCTTTTCCTCTTAAATTTTAAATGGGTAAGGAATTTGGAGTGAAGAACATGTTAACTATTTCATTATAGCAATTTTGAACTATTTTCAGCTGGCAGACTTTAAGGCAAGAGTTATATTCATGACTAAAGTATTAGAAAAAGCTTTTTTACTTCCTTCCCTATTTAAAATTGTAATTTGATTTTTTTTTAAACAAATGGACTAAAGAATATAACACATGAAGGGCTGGGGACTGGAGAAGTTCAATGTGAGTGCATTTTCCTCTCCTATGTTTCATTGACAACAAACTTCAAGGAGAAAATTGCTACACATATTACATGTACTTGAACACGAACACAGACTTCATTAGGAAGATGATAACTAAGACCTTCATCTCCTCATTATGTTATTTGTCCTAGTACAGGTTGTCTTTATAACCAGGAAAAGGCCTGGTTATAAAAGATATAGAACATTCATGCTTTTGGTAACTTTCCTTGTTGCTATGACAGGCAACAAGAAAGGAAGGGTTTATTTTGTCTGCAAATTAGGGGATAGGCAAAGAACTCATGGAGGTGCCTGGTTGACCAGTTGTCCCACTGAGGCAGCTAGTCACATTGTTCCCAGAGTCAGGAGGAAAGGAGTGACAAACGCTCTCATCCAGCCCTGTCCTCCTTTATTACACAGCCTGGGATTCCAGTCTGTGGCATGACACCACCCTCCTTTAGGGTGGACCGTCCAACTTCAGTGAACTTAACCTAGAAAAATCTCTCACAGCAGCGCTCAGAGATTTATTCCCAGGGTGATTTTATATTCTGTCAAATTGTCAAGGCTGACCATCACAGTAAAAATGAGAAAAATTCTACTTAATCTTAAGAAAATAGAAGTATTTATGTGCCCTTCCACATACTCTTTCGTTAAAGAACTAAACCAAGTAAGTATAAAAACATACTATAGTCTGTAATTTTCCATAAATTACTACTGAATTAAATGCAGACAGTATTTTTTTGGAAATTATGGAAGATGGTTTTCTACATTCTTCACATGTAATGAGATAGCAAACACATTATTCTTTGTAATAATATGATAGAAAATTATGTTTTTATATAATAACATAAATAATATAGACATAATAAGATATATATTATAAATTATATAGATATAATAATTTTGGGGTCTCAAAATGGTATTTCATTAAAAATAATAAATTGACCATCACTAAGAAAGAGACATTTTTTATTTGGACTAGGTGGGACTTGAACTCACAGTGATCCACCTACCTGCTTCTGCCTTTCAAGTGCTGGATTACAGGCATGTGCCACCACGTGTAGTCTAAGCCCTTTTTTCTTTTTTTAGAACCCTAGAAACTCTCCATCTTATCCTGTTCTTTAAGGAATTTGAAAATATTAATCCTCATCATCCTCATCCTCATCACTACTATTATGGATATGCTTGGGTCAATTCTCTGCTTCTAATGTGGTTTCCAGAGAGAGAGAGAGAGAGGTTGTCAGACTTGTCTGGCAAGTACCTTTGCTCACTGAACCCCATCATAAAGACTTTTTAAAAACATATTAATAACTTAAATATTTTCTGTTTGTAAAGATGAGGCACAAAAAATAAGGCCATTAGATGGGCAGTGATGGCTCATGCCTTTTGCCCCAGCACTCGGGAGGCAGAGGCAGGCAGATCTCTGTGAGTACGAGGCCAGCCTGTTCTACAGAGTGAGTCCAGGACAGCCAAGGATACACAGATAAACTGTCTTGAAAAAGAAAACAACACAAAAAAGAAAACAAAACAACAAACAAACAAACAAAAAATAAGCCAGTTTACCTAGAACTGGTTCTGGCATTTTACTTAACTGAATCAAAGCTTTGGTGGGGAGTGGGCATTGAAACAAAATCTCATGTAATCTAGCTGGACTCAAGCTCCTAACCTTTTTGCCGCAGAATTCCTAAGGGCTGAGACTGTGAATGTGCACCACTGTGCCTGACAGTTTTAATAATCCTTGGCTCAAGTTTTAAACTGATTGATTTAACAATCTATAGCTAATTTGTGCAAGATGTAGAAAACATCTGGCTTATTCATGAATCGGGTCTGATATCTCAAAGTCAGCCTGTAGCCATCTGCTCTGTAAAATTCCATAGAGTTAGTCCCCTGTGCACACTGTGCGTGGAGGGAGACTGTCGCCAGAGCTGTTAGGGTCAAGGCCCCCCTGTCCCCCACTTGCAACCCTAACAAGTTTGACCTGCCCACCTATCCTCGACAGCCAATGAAACAAACATTGGAGAAAAATTTATTCAGTATGGCCACTTGGAAGAGCAATGGGTGTCCATTTAGGGGGTCCAGAGAGAAGGCTTAGGTTTAATGTAGAGAGCAAGAATTACACATAACTGAACAACCCTGGTCACGTGGAGCTTCTGACCACCGTCTAGGCTCCAGTCTCTCCTGTAAGGTGGTCTGACACAGTGAGAAAGTATGACATTTCTTCCCCAGAGACATGTTCTTCCTCTGGCTAACTCCATGTGTCCAGTCTCTTCCTTCTCCCTGAATGAGGTATGTTTCTTAGGAAATTCCACTACCTTGGGGTTCATTGTCTCTGTAGTCCGATTGCCAAAGGGTAAGCCCCAGTGTCTCTTAGCATAGCTTCATCCCTGCCAAGGCGGTTACAAAAATCAGAAATAAAGGCAGTGTGCTGCTCCTCCTTAACCTGCTTAGACAGGCGGAGAGGCCTGGGTACAGTTAGCCCACAGCAGCTTAGGAGTAAGTGCTCGCTTGGCGTTATTCCAGCATAACCAGCAGAAGGCCTCGTTCAACTGGCTCTAATAGCGCAGAAAGCCCGAAGTGGGACAACTGGCTTTATCATGCTGGGGCTCCTCGCCAGTGTTGAGGAAGGCACTCTTCATTTCTCCATGTGCTTTGCTCTCTCTGCTGGCTTTTGATGGCAGGATGCTGACAGCTGTTTCAAGCACCTCACTGCATGAAAAAGGCTCTTTGGATTATCTTTTTGTGAAGGAGAGAACTTCCTCAACAGTTGCAATTCAGAATTATAGACAGGCCCATTTCTAATCTTTCATTGTCAAGGAGAATGGCATTGGGACTGGCTTACATGAATCAAGGCAACCCTTCCTTGATTAGTAGAGGAAGGAGCCAAGCATTTCTTTCTTTCTTTCTTTCTTTCTTTCTTTCTTTCTTTCTTTCTTTCTTTCTTTCTTTCTTTCTTTCTTGGGTTTTTTGTTTGTATGTTTGTTTGTTTGCTTGTTTTGTGTTTTGCTTTTTGTTTTTCAAGACAGGGTTTCTCTGTATAGCCTTGGCTGTACTGGATTCACTTTGTACTCCAGGCTAGCCTCGAACTCACAATTTATTTTGTGTGTATGAGTGCTCTGTTTTCATACACACCAGAAGAGAGAATCAGATTCTATTAGAAATGGTTGTGAGCCACCATGTGGTTGCTGCAAACTGAACTCAGGACCTCTAGAAGAGCAGCCGGCGCTCATAATTGCTGACCCATCTCTCCAGCCCCAGAGCCAAGCATTTTTAACGTGCTCTCCCTCTGATGCCGTGACAAAAAGCCACATATTGATAAAAATCCACTTAGAGAGAAAGTTTATTTTTGCTCAGAATTGCAGGTTCCTGCTCACTGTAGCAGGAAAGTCAAGGTGGAATAAACTTAAAGCAGTTGGCCACATCTCATCCAAAGTCGAGAGCAGAGAGAATGAACGCATGCATGCTTGGAACTCAGCTAGATTTCTCTCTCTACTAGTATACACTCTTGATCCCTAAGCCAAGGAATGGTGCTGCTCATCCTCAGGTTGGGTCTTTCCACCTCAGGTCAGGTAACCGAGACAGTCACCACAAGCCAACCTCATCTAGGCAAGCTCTGAGACTATCTTCCCAGAAGTCAATAAAACTAAGCACCACCCGTGTGCACTCTCTTAATAAAGACCCAGCCCCGGGCCCTGCTTGCAGGAAGGATGAGTGGAAGCAGTTTCTGCACGGCAGTACTCCAAAAGTCAGATGGAAACCAAAGAGGAAACGGTTCCCAAAGGCGGGTGACCCTTCCGGTCATCTGCTTTGTAGAAGAGAATCAAATTAAGAACAACTGTTTCTTTTTTTCTGATTTACTAAGTCAGCTTCAAGCCCTGGTCTATTTTCAAGGAAAGATTAAATAGGGTTATTATGCTTCTTAAAAGAGGCAGGAAACTCTACCTGGAAGAGACAGCGCTTCTGTATTGTATGTGTAACTGAAAGCAATTTTGGAGAAAATATAATTAATTGAAGCAACTCGATGTGCTCAGCTTTCCATTCACAGAAAGACCATCTCTGCTGGGCTCATGTAGGACGA